TTAGATCTTCTCATCTCTAGGCAAATCAAATTCGTTATTCCTCTCAGCCAACATAACTCATTCTTTCTTCTCCCCTAATCTCGTGCTCTATTACAGTATAACTCATCCTGAGAAAGAAAGCAAACATCTACCCAAGGGCCCAAGGCAGAGAGAAAAATCTAAAACTTATGATATTTACTCAATTCCGCTGCTACTAAAACCAGCCCTTAAACTCTGTAGATCCTCCACCTGTAACTTCCACAAAGCCACAGACAGCCCCCTCGCCAGCCCGCTGCCCCCAAGCACTTTGGCTCACTTTTATCACTGGCCACTAAGCCCAACAGATCTCTGCCTTCAGTCTCTTCATCCTGCATCTACTTGCCAAGCTAACTTCCCAAAATACCATTCGCTTGTGTTACCTTTTCTACTTCAAGAACAGAAAGAAAACAAAATGAAAGTAATGACGCAGGAAACTAAAACAAGCTCCACGGAAAAACATGCTGTAATGCAGGGAGGATGTACTATTTATTGGGTATGTGGTCCTCAGAGTATGCTCCTATTTACAGCATACTATGTGGTCAAGTTACATAAGCTTAGTAAGTCAACTATGTCCTTAAGAGTGGAAAATGGACAGAAAATGGGTCACAGCAGTGACAAAGGAACTCATGCAAAACCAGGGGCCAGGGCTGGGGAAATGGCTCAGAGGAAAAAACTCTTGTCCTGCAAGCTGGAGGAGGGGCATCAGAATCCCAGCACAAGTGGGTGCGGCCTCCCAAGGCTTGGGAGGTGGAAATCGGATCCTTGGAGCAAGCTGGTTAACTAGACTAGACAATTCATGAGTTCTGGATTCAGTGAAGTGCACTGTAATGAGAACTGAAGCAAATAAAGTGGAGAGCAAGGGAGAAAGACATCTGACATCAACTTTGCATGCACACGAACACATACACACAAGCATGCATATACACATGAATGCATGACACATACACATGCAAGAAGAAGAAGGAGGAGGAGGAGAAGGAGGAGGAGAAGAAGGAGAAGGAGAAGAAGAAGAAGAAGAAGAAGAAGAAGAAGAGGAGGAGGAGGAGGAGGAGGAGGAGGAGGAGGGAAGAGGAAGAGGAAGAAACAAGAACCTCTCAGACTTCTAAGTCAAAAGTCCATTCAAGCTGAATATGCTAAGTGACCTAAAGCAAGTGCTCTGAAGCAGGCGTGGTAGCATGCAACTATAATCCCTGCACCGAGGGAGGGTAAAGGAGGCCCACAAGTTCCTGCCCAGCCTGGACTACATACAAAACCCTAGCTGCTCAAAAACAAAGAAAAGGCGGGTGGAGAAGAGGAAAATTCAAAACCCCAAATGCCTTAATTAGAAAAGGGTTTGGAAAGTGAGGTTTTTGCCATCAAGAAATCTATCCACTCCACAGGAAACCAAATCCATCCAGCAGATATCTTACTTAACAGACTGAGTCCATGACATGACCTGCTAGGCAAAGCTCACCTACCGCAAGAGAATGTAGTCATTGACTAGAATCTGCAGGCCCTTCCGAATTAAACATATAAATTAACATCTAGCAAATCTTTCTGTAAGTGTATACTTAGGTGTCGGGTGGTGGTGGTGGTGGTGGTGGTGGTGGTGGTGGTGGTGGTGGTGGTGGTGGTGGTGGTGCACACCTTTAATTCCAGCACTGGGGAGGCAGAGGCAGGTGGATTCCCATGAGTTCAAGGCCAGCCTGATCTACAGAGAGAGTTCCAGGACAGCTAAGGTTATACAGAGAAACATGGTCTCCAAAAGAGTATACTTAGGCTGGGGATGTAGCTCAGTTGGTAGAGTACTTGCCTAGCATGCACAAAAGCCCTGGGTTTGATCACCACCATTAAATAAAACAGTATAGTCATGCATGCCTGTAATTCTCAGCACTCCCAAGGTAGATGCAGAAACATCACTAGTTCAAGGCCATTCTCTGCTATAGAGTGGGTTCAAGGCTAGCCTGAGCTACATGAGACTCTGCCTCAAAAAAGGAAAAAAATATATATACTAAACATGCCAACTACATATTATCATTGTAAACTTATAAAATTAGTTTCTGGTCTTACACAACAGTATTGTAAAGCTACTGATGTCAACCCATCCCTAGGATAACGACGCACTTTGAGCACACTGAATGGATCTGATTTCTGAGGGTGCTAAAGGCATCATCTTGGATGATGACAAATTCTAAAATTACATGTGCCTATTTAAATATAAACTGAGTTAGTGACATTACAAAATTGTCACATATGCCGGTACACTGACGCACACCTGTAATCCCAGCCCTCCAGAGAACTAACTACACAGGAGGATCAGAAGCTCAATGTAGCCGGGGCTATGGGGCAAGACCCAGTCTCAGAAACAGAAAGCAGGAAGCAAACACTTTGACGACTACCGACTGTTATTCTGAAGAGAAGAGGTTTCAAACATCTTGACCATGCAGGGTTTACCACACAGATGAAAGACCATCCCAAATTCACTATTGGGGTTTGCTTGGGAAAGAGAGCGCCTGGATAGCTAACAGGACCTGAAGGCTAGACTTTTTTTAGGAGAAGGGCAGAAACAGACATTCAACAACTGCTTCCTTTTGTTTTTTTATTGAGACAGTATCACGCTCTATAGCCAAAGCTGCCTGGAACTCACGGCCAGACTCCCAATACGAGGATTGCAGGCTCATGAGCTGCCACAACCAGCGTCAACATTTCTAAACGTAAGGAAATTGTACACCCTGTTCGAGGAGACTTTTGCCTGTATACTTGTGAAGAGCACAGAGGACAGAGACCCATTCTCTAAAACCATACTGCCTGGATGCCTCTCTTACCTCTGCTCTTGAGCACATTATTAGCAACTGTATGCACTGGTTTCCTCGCAATGAAGGGCGAGGAGTTCTTGCCTCCCCAGGTTATTGTAAAGATACAATGATTTCATATCTAATCTGTAACTAGAGAGTAAGTGCCCAGGAACTATTACCTGCTCTTCTTTCTATACTACAGCCACCACCCACCACTCATAAGGTGGTATGGGAAATGTTTACCTAAAATATTGGCAAATGCAAAGAAATCTAACTCAAACAGGTCAAAATGTCAGTCTATAACAGAAAATTTTCAAACAGTATAGGGTGTAGGCAATCTAGAGGAAATGTAAAGTAATGAAAAGGTTGTGTTTTCAAGAGTTACCTGACAATATCTGACAGATGACAGGTCAAATGAAGTGTATGCATTTGAGCTATAAGCTTTTTGAGTAAAGCAACAGTAAATACTAAGAAGGGATGGGAAAGATGGAGGGTTGAATTCATTGGCGCTCCTTGTATACAGCACACTGCATTTCAATGGACTGTGCCTCTCTTGTGCTCCTCAATTACTTTCACAGTCACTAAAGAGCTGATGAATTTTCAGAAAGCAAGCAGAGCACCAAAAATGACCAAAATACTGTTCTGCTAGTTTATGTCAACTTGTCACAAGTCAGAGCCACTGGACAAGAAGGAGCTTCCACTGAGAAAACAGTTCCATAATACAGGGCTATCAGCAAGCCGCCTGGCCAGGTTTTTTCTTAATTAATGATTGACGAGGGCCTAGTCCATTGAGAATGGGGCCACCTTAGGCTAGTGGTCCTGGGTTCTATAAGAAAGCAGGCTGAGCAACCCATGAGGATCAAGCCAGTTAGCAGCACCCTCCATGGCCTCTGCTTCAGCTCCTGCCTCCAGGTTCCTGCCCTGTTTGAGTTCCTGTCCTGGTTGAGCCGACTCAACTCTTTCATCCCTAACTTCTGGTCTTGGTGTTTCATCACAGAAATAGTAACCCTGACTAGGACATGCCAACAATGAGCTAGCATGTCCTCTTCAGTGAAAATCCACTGTGAGGGAATGAAGAGATGCTCAATGAAGGGCTGCTGCACTTCACGAGGACCCAAGCTGTCCATTAAATTAAAAAAACATCAAAAATAAATACAAGTCATCTCAGAGCTCGAGGTAGCACACCTATCATCTGAGCACCTGCCTCCTGCCAGTGAAGCAGAACCAGAGAGTTGGGGTTCGTCAGGAGACCCTGAATAAAAAATAAGGTAGAAGAGCTATTGAGAAGGACACTCGCCATCAACCTGGCTTCCACATGTACCCTCATCCCTGAAACAGACACAACGAGCACACTTACTTCACTTAAAAAAAAAGTGAGAATCCAGAGGCTTAAGTTCAGTCTCACTGGACAGAAAGGTCCGGCCAGGCCTGACTCCAGCTCTGCCATTCCCTAGCTGCACGGCCTGGGTTACCTGCCCTTCCTCAGTACCTTCGAGCTTCACTCCACTACCTAAAATCCAAGTGAAGCACGCACCAATGAAGAAACATGCCAAGGGCCTACTGACAGACAGGGCCTAGAAGTTAGCAATGCGCCCAACAGCTGCTGTGGAGGGAGGGAGGGGCTCTGCCTGAGAAGACCCTCTAGGAATGCCCAACAGACTGGCCAGGCGGCAGCGGCGCACGCCTTTAATCCCAGCAGAGCCAGGTGGATCTCTGTGAGTTCGAGGCCAGCCTGGCCTGGTCTACAGAGCGAGATTCAGGACAGGCACCAAAAATTCATGGAGAAACCCTGTCTCAAAAAAAAAAAAAAAAAAAAAGAAAGAAAGAAAGAAAAAAAAGAAAAAGTAATCATTCAAGAAAATGTCTCAAAATGGTCACTCATTTTATAAACTATCTCCCCAGAACCCCCAAATCCCTGCTTATTCCCTATTGAGACTTTGCCTAGAAGACATTTAAGCCTACAGCTGTATTGCTCACATTTATGCAGTTCTTCCTGGTAATTCTGCCACAGCCCCTTCATTGACCCACATACACACACAGCACTAAGCACAAATATCCACTATGTCCTCCACCCCAGCAATGGAAAAGGATGGACTGGGATTACAGGTGTAAGCCACAATACCCAACTCTAAAAAGATTGTTTTACTTTTGAAAGGTCTCTCGGTGAGGTGAGTCCCACAAAACAACACACACAGGGTGACGGCTTACCTGGAAGTACTCTGCACTTCAGATCCACCACTGACTGAATGGGGCATCCCCTTTCAGACTAGTCTGAGAAAAGACAGCGGTCAAGCGTCTTCCAAGACTCTCCGTTTACTGTATCCAGCTTTCTTCAACAAAATCCCAAACATGCACTTCGGTAACTGTTGAAAGACAGAGAGCAATCCATACACCCACCATGGCACCAGCGGCAAACGACAGCCACCAAGAATGGAAAGAAAGGCCGATGGAATGGTGGATCTGAGGACAGACCTTGGACATGAAGGGCCTGGGGCAGTACCCCTCAGCCCAGCACTGAGAGAAATAGTGAAATACAGCTAATATTAACATTTACTCATGATAAATAGCATACAGTCTACAAATGAGAGCAACTAAGACCGACTTAACCATCCACATAAGCTGTCCCCGATCATTCAATACAATGACAGTAATGTCAGTTTTCTATGACAGCTCTTCCAGCACTACAAAAGCAGTTTGCCGGTCACAACGAAAATAAGCGAGGGTTCAAATAGCTCCCAGTGTTTACTAACATTCCCATCAAAGAAACATTTGGTTTGCCGCTGAAGAGACATCAAACCTACATACATTACTCAAATCCTTGATGTTCAATCGGAATCCAGAACCTTCTTAAGCATGACAATCAAGGTAAGAGTGAACTTACAGGTCACTAGAGGCCAATACCCTACAACAGCTGATCATCAGGTAAACCAAAGAGACAATCAAGAACACTAATCAATAATTTACAAGATGACACTCATAAACATTACAGCCAATCCAAATTCTGTTCATTCTTTTCCTACCATATGAGCTCCCCATTAGACTGCAAATCCTAACCAACCATAACAAAAGAGAAAAGACATTAAAGAGGATGGACAACCAGAGAGAATATGTAGATTCAACTTACTTGCCACACGACTGCCGAAGTGCCCTGCAGTATTGAACACCTATGGGCAGCTGAAGGGCCTATTTAATTCAAGACTGTCTCCCGAGTCCCCTCCTACAGGAGCTGAAGCCATGGCATTTTCACAAAGCACAACTGCCCCGAGTACAAGGGTCAGGCAACTCATTACTTTTGGGACAGAAGACATTAATACTCTCACAGGCCCTAGGGTAATGAGAATTTCATCCTGGTTGACACAAAGAGCAAACTCCAGATTATTCCACATAGAAAGGCATCCCATTACCAAGGAGCCATGTAACTGCAAGGTCCCAGGCACTAATGTCATAGCAAAACACATCCTAAAGGTGCCTTAGTCCCCTCCGAGCAGCAAACAAGTTCCTGATAAGGACTTTCTAATCCTTCTGAACTCTGACTTCCAAGATGCGGTCGGTGACAGTCCACAGGCGACATCGACAGTGCTGACGTCAGCACTCTGGGCGCTGAAGGAACTGAACGCCCATCTGAGGGACTGCATCACAGTGACCAGATACACACCCTGCAGTCCTCACAACTTAAAGAAAGCATGCAAACAAAGCACGCCTTAAAAAAAAATTCAAGTTGTTCCTCACTAGTTGATGTTCCTGAGTCAAAATGAATTGAAGCCGGGCGGTGGTGGTGGTGGTGGTGGTGGTGGTGGTGGTGGTGGTGGTGGTGGTGGTGCATGCCTTTAATCCCAGCACTCAGGAGGCAGAGGCAGGCGGATCTCTGTGAGTTCGAGGCCAGCCTGGGCTACAGAGTAAGTTCCAGGAAAGGAGCAAAGCTATACAGAGAAACCCTGTCTTGAAAAACCAAAAAATAAAAAATGTAAAAAAAAATGAATTGAAGACTGAGGATGAGGCTCCATTGGCAAAGGGTTTGTTTGCCCAGCATTCGAAGTCTTAGGGCAGTGGTTCTCAACCTTCCTAATGCTGTGAGCTTTGAATACCTTTTCATGTTGTGGTGGCCCCCAGCCATAAATTTATGATTTTCATTGCTCCTTTCATTGTAATTTTGCTACTGCTCTGATCTGTGATGTAAATATCTGTGTTTCCTGATGGTCTTGGGTGACCCCTGGGAAAGGGTCGTTCCACCCCCAAAGGGGTCACGACCCACATGTTGGAGAGCTGCTGTCCTAGAGTCCGTCCCTGTCACTTCATTAACCGGATGCACATCCAGGTAAGCCCAGGACTCCAGGTGTAGAAGCAGGAAAAGCAGAAGTCAAGGGCATCTGTGGCTACACAGCAAATTCAAGGCCAGTCTAGTATACATGAAACTCTGTCTTAATTAATTAATTAAACTGGAAATCCAGGTGTGACAAAAGTATCCAGTGAACTATGCTGGTAGCTAGTTGCTAAAACAATATAGTTAGTCTGCTTTTTCAAAGAGCAACTTACATCCACACTGCAGGGCAGGACACAGCAAACAAGCACTTCTCCAGACAACTCGTTTCTCACCCTACTGAGTCCTCTGGCCTTTCCTTGTACTGGTGAGTTAATTTTTCACCCTCCCCTTCAAAGAAGTATCTCTGTAATGCCTAACCGGCCTCAAGCTTTGCGAAGATTAACAGATGAAGGTAAGAGATCGAGGACTAAATTCTCCCTGTCTCTTCTCAGACAACCGAAGTATACATTATCATCAGTTCTTAAAAGCCGCCAAAGGGTCTCAGCTTAGCTCCTTCAAAGTCCAAAGGCGAGTGTAGAGCCCACTCTTGGCTCTCCCTTCAGGAGAGCAGAAGCTTTCTGCTAGGGCCCAGCTCTCCCACATTCATGGGATTTGCACCCTTCTCCACTCACAAGCTGGTGCTTTTCTTTCTTCCCACCATTTTTCTCATTAACTTCCCAATTTCTACCTCACTGCACTCTGGCCTGTGAAGGCCTTTATGTGGACTAACGGTGAGAGGGAATCTCATCAGCAATCTTCCTGCTGACATCACAAAACTCTACACCAAAGTTAACTTTTGTTAAAACAGTAAGGCCAAGGTGAGAGACACCAACTGGACTGTCAGGTCCTCCCAGTCTGTCTCTCATTTGCCTACAAAGACAAACTTCCTGTTAAGCAATTGTGATCAAGCAGAAACTTAACAGAAGGTAACAAGCTCGTTCTTGACCAACAGGTTTTCCCCCATTGTCAACTAATTCAATTAAGAACAATTCAACCCGGAAGGAAAGCTTGCTTATTCAATTAATGGCCAAAATCACCTGGTGCTTTGCCAAGAATGAAATAGCTTCATTTCCCAGAACCCCATAAACCAGTGAATGAAACATTATTCAGAATATTCAATGATCACATACACTAACCACCAGTCTCTTTCTGCTGGGATACCCAACACTGGGCGAGGGTGAAGGTAGGGATTTCCCTCTGGAGCTACAGCAGAGGTCTGATCAGACAGGCCAACTGATAGTTCCCACTAAACATCATGGTATCTCCCATATTTTCCACACCATTGTGGATACTGAAAATGTTATCATTTCCCTCAAAGAATGACTCATGGTATCTATGGGCTCAAAGCAAATGAACGGTAAACCTCTAAAAATAAAAGCATAGGCATGTAAATAGCTTTACAAATAAACACATGCACAACTCATGAGGAAAAAAGCTAACTTTTCCCACACCATCTGTTCTGAGTTTGTTTTATAAAATGTAGGTCCCTGAAGGCTTGCCATGGAGGCACACACTTATAACCCTAGCACTTGGGAGGATGAGGCAGGAGGACATCAAATTTGAGGCAAGCCTGGGCTAAATAGTAAATTCAAGGCTAACCTGGGTTATGAAGTGAGAACCTGTCTCAAAATTTTTAAAGCAATTTAGAAGAATTTATAGATAAAAACTCGGGGTTTGCCAGACGGCTCCTCGGGAAAGGAAGACGGTCAGGCAAGCCCATCGACTCCAGGTCAACCCCTAGAACCCACCGAGTGTGCGCAGAAATGACTCCACAGAGTCGTCCTCTGACCAGACTCCACATTAACACCCATGGCTTCACAACACATGCATGGGTGCGCACACAGTCACACACTCACACACAGTAACACAGTCGCATACACACACACACACACACAAATACACACCTCAGACCTGTGCGTGCACATAATGAAACATCTTTAAAAAGAAGCATCATCCAGGTGCTGTGGTATACACCTTTAGTAATCCTAGCACCCAGGGGACAGACACAGGAAGACTGTGAGTTTGAATCTGAGTTTGAATCCCTGCACTTGCAGGTACAGTTAGAAAGGGCTGTCCCCCTGCAAAGTCCTTTCACATACATGTCTCTCCAAGCCTTCCCAATAACTCAGAAGGATAGCCAGGTTTCTGTATGTGTGCAGTTACACTGCAATAAGGCTTCCTTTAAGGAAGGTCCCATGGCAAGTGCAGAGCTCTGGTAGAAAATCAGGTGTTTCACCCTGCAGCCTGTGCCCTTTCTGTGAGTTAAATCACAAATTTTAAGGTCAGGAAACCCTTGCAGCTTATCAACTATTCTCACCAACAGATATAAAAAGAACGTGGCTTCATTTCTTGGCTAATCACCAGTCTAGGGTGCATATAAATCAATCTGTATATGTATAGGTACATACATGATGGGTACATGTCTATGTGAGCTACACGCCAACTTCCACTTTCCCTCACCCGTCTTTTTCTTGTATATACATCTTTGTGTTAAAGTTATCAAAAGAAAATCTAAAAGGCATCATGGTACTCAAAAAAAAAAAAAACCCTAACATTAATTGAAATTAATAAATAGCCACCAAGCACCACACACTTAGCACACGGTGAGGGAAAAGGCTATCAGCTGCAGCTTCTGGCTCGGGTGTTTACACACAACTGCCATTCTGTGTAACAGTCAGTAGATGATGTGAAGGCCATAAAGTGAGGACTGCTAGGAGAACTGCTAACAGAGAAGAGTTCACCCCCAAATGAACAGCTACTACAGAAGCATTCTGTGTATGGGAAGGAGCTGTGGTCAGAGGAAGGGAGGAAGGTCTCATCTCCCAGATAAAGACCTTATCATTTAATGGGGGACACAAACAGGTAACTACAGTATAGGCATAGACTAGTCTAAGTACCACTAGGTAATTCATTCATTTAAGGATTAGTCCACAAAAATTGGGCTATGCAACCAAACAAGATGCTATCTGCCACCCACCTTACAAACTGACATCAAAAAGGTGGCCTCCATTATGTCTCCTGGGCTGATAGAGGTTTATCAGCATTAGCAGAAGGGAAGATTGC